TATGTGATATGGTTATGGTGTACTTGTTAAGATTATACTATAGCTGTTAAAATGATAATTTTTAGAGTATATTTAACTATAATCAACCAAAATATCTTCAAATATGGTCACTTTAGTTCAATGTCGCTAATTCTTTTAGCAACTGAAATGCTGATACTTAACATGCAACTCATATGTGGACTAATTTCTCCTATTTCTTCACGAAGCCAATGATCCAAATTGCCATTATTAGCATACTCAAACAAGCATCCTAATTGTAATCACAAAACTCAAATTGAAAACTCGGAATTTTTTCCAAATTGAAAAATTCAAATTGCTAACTAACTTTAGGCTTTTATTTGTAATATTTATGTAATTTTTGCAAATTTTGGTACATTAATAGGCAAAGAGAGATGTGGTTTCTCAGACTGTGATAGTAACAGATCATGTATAAAGAAAATACCACGAAGATCTTGTTGTATAGTTGTGGGTATGGAAACGTAAAAATTAGACAAACATATAATTGTACGGGTTAGTTGTAAACTATTAAGGATTAGTTGTGAATCTTACCTAAAGAAATATTGTAACTCCCCCTTGAAAGTTTTTAAAACTGTAAATATCCCAAAAAATTAACAAAAAACCCTTAACAGTTATACTCTAACCTTAACAACCAATGGGTAAACCTAACCACAAATGGGTAATGTTACGACCAAAGTTCAAAATTAACGTTTTTCTATAAACTTAACAATTATGCTATGAACTTAACATATAATGAGTAAATTAAAGTTAACATCAAATAGGTAAGATTCACACTAATACTTTATAATTCATACTCAACTCATACAATTATAAGTTTGTGTAACTTTAATGTTTACATACACATAACTATACAGTGAAATCTCCATGATGTTTTCTCTGCACATGACTTATTATTATCATAGTCCAAGAAATCACATCTCTCTTTGGCATTTCGTCAAACACTTTACAAGCAATCTCCAAGCCACCATATATCATATACACATTTAACATACTACTCTAAGAAACCAAATCTCACTTATCCGTTTCAATAAAAAATAAATTGGGAAAACTCCAATCTACCACTAAGAAGTGAATCACATAATCTAATCATGAGATTTGTATAAGAGAAATGGTGGAGGAAAGAGGAGAGGAGGTCATAGTAGTTTTGAGAAGATGGGTTTGCTTGGTGCAAAGATCAGCAGTGGAGTTCGCCACACTGAGGGGAGGGAGAGGGAGTTCGACAAAGAAGATGACGGTCTCGGCCATCTTACTACAGAGTTCTGCTGAGAAAAGAAGGCGGTCAATGGAGGAGAAGATGGCATCAAGCTAAGAGGAGGAGATGTTGTCGTCACTATTAGAGTTAAACTAATTGAGGATGTGCTCGAGTTAGTGGTGGCGAAGAGGAAGGAGGCGATTGAAGAGGGGGAAGAGATTGCAATTATGAGGTGTAAAGTGGGATTATTTTGGATTTTTCCCTCTCTTCTTAGTTGCTATATTATTGGGGTGATACACATTTTAGCAATGTATTTAGGACTTTCACACAATGGAAATTATACAAGGGACTAGGTCATATGAAATTTTACTGTTGGGGCTTTATACAAATTTTCCATGATTCATTGATACTTGTCCTAGTTATTGGAGATGTTCTTTGTTTCTATGATTTTTTTCCCTTTCCATAGAAGTTTTCTCATAAAAAATCCTTCAATTTATGATAGATGAAAATGAAGTTGCAAATGTTAATAGAGGAATCAAATTGGTGAATATATATCTTAGTCTACAACTTTATAATTAAGAAAGATAAATGGACTTACATTCTATAGAGAAAAGAAACTTGCAACAAATGCTAGAACAATTTGGTTGAAGGAAAAGCAGCATATTTCAAAAAAAATAGAAATAATTCCATCTTATAAAAAGTCTTTTTAAATCCAAAATAAATCATTAACACCAAAGTTCTTTATATGGTAAAATTTTGTAACTTTTGCTTAATAATTTTCAACCAAACACTAAAATATTTGCAAATACATCTCCTAATATATCCAAACATTGAATTTGAAGTTAATTTCCTCAACTAATATTGAATTCAACATTTGTTGCTACATTATTTGTTACAATTTATTTTGGGGAAATTGTGTCGAGGCCTCAAAAGTAGGGACTCCATGTGACCCGGCCCTTTGTATTTTGACCCATGTGGATCAGCCTTAAATATACACCGTATTTGTGTTTAGGCCCCAAAGTAGCATATTTTAAAAAAAAGCCTAGCGAAAGTTACGAATGTACCTTTGATAGGACTAAATTCGGTTTCTGCGCCCCTCCCTACTCAAGTACCCTCTCTCTCTTCTACCGCTGAGGAGCCACCAAAATTTTTAAACTCAAAAAACTCGTCGGATTTCAAACTTGAGTAGGGTTTTAGCCGGAAAAATGTCGTCTAGGGAAGCAGAATCCGTTAACAACTACGAAATCGTTCATCGCGATGAGTTGAAGGACAAAAACGGTTTATCTTGGCTTGGCAGCACGAAGGAAGCCACTCAAACCCTTATGGACATGCAAAGGCAGGTAGTAGAATGGCAAGATCGAAAAAGAAGAACAGCAATTGCTAGCTATTCCAACGAACCCAACCCAAAAAAGCAGTAAGTGCATGTTATCCAATATTTAGGGATTCGACGTAATTTTCCCTAATTTGAGTTCATCTTAAACAATGCTAGGTTTTAAAACAATTCATGTTAGTTCTAGATTGAGTCCATGTTAGTTCTATAACATATCGTGTTAGTTCTATTAGAAGCCCGTTTGTGTTAGGTCTAATTTCAGTTCACGTTAGGTCTAATTGAACTTGAATATTTGATTTTATTTAGAGAAAAAAAGTTGCTGATGCTGATGCGGTTTAATCAATAAGGCTAATAGCCAATATTAGGGCTTATTGGGTATTTATGAAGCGTATTGCCCTAAAGATTCGTCAGTGGCATAGGGATGTATATCGCGGAGCTATGTTTGAGCACTATATATTTTTGGAGCTCTTGTGCCTGATCGCCCCACACTTGAGCTGCTGCTGAGCTATTATGATAATGATAATAACACATTTTCTATCATTGATTCAAAAACTAGGGGAATGAAAAGTGTTAAATTTGATTTAGAATGGGTCTATAACCATACTTTCTTCCCTGTTGAAGGGGAAGTCCTAAATATCAATCGGGACTCCAAAAACAGAATCTGGGTGGAATACTTCACTAATCTTTTCAAATCTGAAGTGGGGAAGAAGTTAAAAAAAGGCACCAATCACCCATCAAAAATACCTCGAATGGCAACTGGAAAGGCTTGTGGAATCTTCAGAAAAGAAGGATATCCAAGACTTTGTTCTGCTGTAAATTCTGTATCAATGCTCTATAATATGGTGCCCTAGAAGCGGGGAAGGTATTCCTAGACCTGTTCTCAAGTACTTGGATAGCATTGAGAGGGTCAAAGGAATTACATGAGCTCAATTCTTTCATGCAGAATTTGTTAGAGGCATTGGAGTTGCATTAGAGGGCAAGAAGTAGCCATGTGTTACATATGTCCTAGGTTGCATATCACTATTATGTGTATGTTCCACGTTTTACTTACTTTGGTTCATTCTAGTTCTAATTGGATCCATGTTAGTTCTAATTTATATCATGTTAGTTCTATCTGCACTCATGTTAGTTCTAATTGTATTCATGTTAGTTCTATTTTTCAGGTGTGTTAGTTCTGATTTATATCATGTTAGTTTTAGTTGTATTCATGTTAGTTCTATTTGTAGTTGTATTAGTTCTAATTTATATCATGTTAGTTCTAGTTGTATTCATGTTAGGTCTATTTGTAGTTGTATTAGTTCTAATTGGAGTCATGTTAGTTCTATTTTCATACCATTTTAGTTCTAACTTTACACGATGTTAAACCTCACCTAATTCATGTTAATCATATTTTTTGTTCATACTAGGTCTACCTGGAGCCATGTTAGTTCTATTGCAGCTTATTTTAGTTCTATTGCAGCTCATGTTAATTCTAATTAGTGTCATGTTAGTTTTAATGCAGTATCTATTAGTACTAATTAGAGTAATGTTAGTTCTATTACAACTCATATTAGTTCTATCGTAGCTCATGTTAGTTCTACTTAATGTTCATGTTAGTTCTAATAGAGATCATGTTAGTTCTAATTAGAGTCATGTTAGTTCTATCACAGCTCATGTTAGTTCTAGTTTGAATGCTTATTGTATTTGTTACAGCTTTGGTACTACGAGATGACGGGCATAAAGAAATATGCTTATGTCGACAGCTCCAGACCTCCAATGACAAATTAGCATCAAAGGATGTGAAAGTCTCATCAATGAAGGTGAGGACAATTACATCAAAGGCTAAGGCAGCCTCAATAACTTCTGTCTATAACCCTATTGTGGAAGTTGGGCCTATTCTTTCAAATGTATATGCACTTCCTACAGTACTGAGGGAGGAAGGAGTGCATCATAAGCCTAAGGCAGAGAGGAAGGCGAAGGAGGATGAAGCTAAGAAGAACTATGCAATAGGCTATGTAAGTATCATGTTAAGTCTAACTTATTTCACGTTAACTATAAATAATATTCATGTTATGCTTAATCCTAATTTATAATATAATCTCTTAATAATCCTAGATCATGGCAAAGCATAATGACACTACTTTTGAAGATGAAGAGGAGGTGAAGGCTCTACCAATTGAGCAGCAACTTACTTTTTGGAGAAATTCTACTAAATTTTTCGAACGACTACTATTTGCCACAAAACAGAGCAAGAGTACATATTATAAAGAATTTATGATTAAGATCAATAGTCTAAACAGAATAGTTGAACAATTTGGAAGAAGTTATGAGGTTATAGACCCGGTAATGTTGTAGGCAAATATTAAACAGAAAATTTAAAAAAATATTAAGTTGAAGCCATGAGTAGCTGAGGAGGAACAACATTCTAAATCTAGTAGAGTACATAAGGAAGACCCCATCATGCAATAAGATGAGGAGAATATGGATAAAAAAGAGGAGAATAAAGATAGGGAATATGAGGAGAATGTAGATAGAGAAGAGGAGAATGTGGATAATAAAGAGGAGAATGTATATAAGGAAGAGGAGAATGTAGATAGGGAAGAGGAGAAGAATGTGGATAATATAGAGAAGAACGTATATAAGGAAGATGAGAATGTAGATAAGGAAGAGGAGAATGTAGATAACAAAGGTGTAGAGATTCATCATGTAGACAGTAAAGTTGTAGAGGAGTTGGAAGCCCAGGGGGAAGAGGAGAATATGGATAATAAAGAGGAGGATGTATATAAAGAAGAGGAGAATGTAGATAGGGAAGAGGAGAAGAATGTAGATAATAAAGAGGAGAATGTATATAAGGAAGAGGAGAATGTAGATAGGGAAGCAGAGGAGAATGTAGATAACAAAGGTGTAGAGATTCATCATGTAGACAGTAAAGTTGTAGAGGAGTTGGAAGACCAGGGGGAGAGGAGAATGTAGATATTACACATCAGGTGGACAAAATTGTAGATAATTTTACGAGTTCTGTACAATAGGAGAATGATAAAGCAGCCATAAAAATGTTATTGTCATGCAAAGTTAGGCCACCAAACAGAAGGGATGTGAAGAGGTATAAACACATTACGACCCCATACACAGAGGGAAAGAAAAAGTAAACAAGTTACTATATATATATTTTTAAGCCTTGAACATGTACATACAGTTGACAAAGTTACCTGTTTTTACCCCGGCAACCAAGAAGCCAATTGGGATGTGTTGAGTCTGAAGCTAATGACAAAGGAGGAAGAGGATCTATTGGTCAAGCTAAATGCAGGGATCCCAGAACATAAAGGGTTTAACAACGCATTCTTGATAGCAGGAGTACTTTTGTATATAATTTTAGGATGCCAACTACAGTACCATCCGGGCTTGACATAGCCGAAAATAATTGCCTATCAAAATTTTGCTCCCAAAAGTATCATAAGTTTCAATTGACTATTTATATGTTAATTCGCTATCAGTTAGTCCTAATTCATGTGGTACACAATTTTTCAGGAATTATGATGTTATCAAAATAGCTAACAACAGTTTGAACAGAGAAGAGTTGTTGTATTTGCTTCATGGTTGCCAGCTTGATGACAATATTAGATTATATAAGCTTAATAATTGAAGGTGTCTTGTTTATATTGAATTTTAATTTTTCATTGATGTTACAGATGAAAGAAGCAGTGTTGGACACGGTTCAGATAGATGCATATAACAAAAAATTTGGAGTCGTCTCAGTGTTCTTTCTTGTAAGTACATGTTAGGTCTAAATTAACGTGTTAGTTCTAGCTGAAATGCATGCTATTTCTATCTGGGGTGCATGTTAATTCTAATGGAGTTGCTGTTACTTTTAATTGAATTCGTGTTAGTTCTAATGGAGTACATGTTAGTTCTAGTTGAGTTCCTGTTATTTCTAATGTATTTCATGTTAGGTCTATCATCCCTCATGCATAATCCTAGATTCTTCCTTTTAATTTCAACCCATACATTATTTGGTTTGTAGCACTCACTCTATAGATAAGAGCCGGACAATTATATGCTATTTTTATCATATATTGAAAAATATACCGCTATCCGCATAGAGCATCTGTTGATCCCTATGGTCAGGGACGGTCAATAGTATCTGGTGGAGGTTGATTTGAAAAAAAAGTCATCAAACATTACAGTTCTACTAGTCATGATGCTTGGTTAGATCCTGTTAATAAAATCATAAACTATTTTGATCACCAGCAAGCTGATTTTGTTAGTGCAAGGGTGCGGAGAGAATTTAAATATAAATCTATCAAATGCGAGCAACAAAGAGGGATGTTAGTTCTAATGTTTTAATTGTTTGTCTAGAGATACAACAGAAAAAACTAGCATACACATTCTATGTTGCAGCTATGACTATGGCATGTTAGTCTACCTCTTTATGCAAGCAATAATTGAAGGTCGCTCGACATTACACGTGATGCCTCCGGACGATATCCTTAAAGCTATGCGAGCAAGACTTGCCGCACAATTATTAATTGTTAGTTGTGAACAAAGATATAAAGACGGATCATCGTTTAGTGATGAATGACATGTTTATACAAATACAATAATGTATGTATATTTAATTAGAAATGTATATTTTATAGTTTTTGTTAGCTCTAATTGATATCCTGTTAAGTCTATCGCATTTCTGTGCAGCTCTAGTTGAGCATTATTTCTAGTGGACTACATGTTAGATCTAATCGAGATCCTGTTAGTTCTATCTCATTTCTTGTTAGATCTAGTCGAGCATTAGTTCTAGTGGACAACGTGTTAGATCTAGTCGAGATTCTGCTAGTTCTATCTCATTTCTTGATAGGTCTAACTTCGCGTTAGTTCTAATAGAGTAAGTGTTAGCTCCAGTTGAGATTAAGTTAGTTCTACCTTATTTCGTGTTAGTTCTATTGCAGTTCTTGTTAGTCCTAGTGGTTCTCGTGTTAGCTCTAGCTGATTTCGTATTAGTTCTACTTCCAGCTCGAGTTAGTTCTAGTAGAAGTGTTGGTTCTAGTGGTTATGTTAATTTTATTGTAGCTCATGTTAGTTCTAGTGGTTTTCGTGTTAGCTCTAGCTGATTTCGTATTAGTTCTACTTCCAACTAGAGTTAGTTCTAATATAAGTGCTGGTTTTAGTGGCTATGTTGGTTCTATTTTAGTTCTTGTTAGTTCTAGTGATTCTCGTGTTAGCTCTAGCTGATTTTGTGTTAGTTCTACTTCTAGCAAGAGTTAGTTCTAGTAGAAGTGTTGGTTTTAGTGGCTATGTTAGTTCTATTACAGCTCATGTTAGTTCTAGTGATTCTCGTGTTAGCTCTAGTTGATTCCGTGTTAGTTCTACTTCCAACTAGAATTAGTTCTAATATAAGTGCTGGTTCTAGTGACAATGTTAGTTCTATTGTAGTTCTTATTAGTTCTAGTGGTTCTCGTGTTAGTTTTAGTTAATTTCGTGTTAGTTCTACTTCCAACTCATACTGGTTCTGCTAGAAGTGTTGGTTCTAATGGCTATATTAGTTCTACTGTAGCTCATGTTAGTTCTAGTGGTTCTCGTGTTAGCTCTAGTTGATTCCATGTTAGTTCTACTTCCAACTATAGTTAGTTCTAATATAAGTGTTGATTCTAGTGGCTATGTTAGTTCTATTGCAGTTCTTATTAGTTCTAGTTGTTCTCGTGTTAGCTCTAGCTAATTTCGTGCTAGTTTTACTTTCAACTCGTGTTGGTTCTGCTAGAAGTGTTGGTTCTAGTGGCAATGGCTATGTTAGTTCTATTGCAACTCATGTTAGTTCTAGTGATTCTCGTGTTAGCTCAAGCTAATTTTGTATCAGTTCTAATACTTGTAATATTTCATCTAGTGGAGATGGTGTTAATTCTCATTTAACATGAATATACTTACAACATTAAACAAAACATAGTAGTTTGTAAATATACAAGCAAAATAATTAACAACATTCTAAACACTTAATCATCAATAGTTTTATTACATGTTTTATGATTATGACCTTCCATATGACATCAAGAGCATTTAAGTGGTCGGGTGTAAACAGTTATATTGTTGATATGCCTAGTTTTATTTCTCCCTTTCCCTTTTGTTATTAGTGGTGGTAGGATCGGTATCTCATCACATGGTATGCTACGCTTCTCGTAATCAGGGATAGGGTAGAGGATTAGCTCGTATCTCTTTTTAAAAGCTTCAACCGTCATAAACCAGTCACAAAATTGCTAAACATCCCTCTTCATAAACATAATGGTTGTGCATGCATGTTTGCAAGGGATACGAGTTACATCCCACGAATGACACGTGTATGTTTTTTGGTCAAGATGCACTTGACAAGTTCTATAGGATTTTACCTCAAATAATCCTCCATGGGATTGACGCACATTCAATAAACACTCATTTTCCATGTTCTCTTTGAGGACAAGCTCAGCTTTAGGACAAAGAAATTGATTCCAATTTTCAGCCATGACACGTCACTCATGCATGCGAATCATAATCTGTTTACGTATGTACTCTACTAGTTGTAGTATTTGTAGAAGTCTAGCCTCATGTATCTTCTTGTTGAATGACTCTGCAATATTTGATGTAAGGTGACCATATCTAAAACATAACAAGGAATTCATCACAATTTCTTGTTAGTTCTACTGAGTAGGCATTCATGTCTAATTTCATTATGCAAACGACTTAATTAAAATAAGAAATGAAATAGCTTATAACTTACCTAATTCTAAGAAAAAACACATTTGCTAAATTCTCTGGAGCGTAGTTCATTACAATATTATATGCTCTTTCGTCAATCAGTCTAATGTTGTCCATATAATCATTCCATTCTGCTTTAGTATATTTATAACAAGCAGATTGAAACAGGTTCCCCAAAATCTGTGTATCCTTTGCCTTTAGTCCTAAGTCCTTCAAATTTGTCCCGAAATTCTCAACTAGATGTAGAACACATCTAGAGTGTATAGCATCTGGAAAAAATTTTCTAACTGCTTCTCTGATCCCCTTATTCGTATATGATATTATAACTAGCTTGTGTGGAGGGTTATCTAGATCTAGCCTTTCATAGATAATAGACTACAAACCTATAAAGAGTTGTAATTAACATACACGAAGTTAGAGTTAACAAAAAATGAGTTAGAACTAACATGAGAAGTAATAGAACTAACAGGACTCAAGTTAAAACTAATCTTGTAAGAACCACTTCCAGTTAATATTATTTTCCTGATCGCATAGGCTAATGGAAATATCCCCTGATTTCCATCGTATGCTACGGTGTTGAGGAGTATACCTTTGAATCGATCTTTCAGAAAGATACCATCTAAAAATATAAGTGGTCTACATCCATGCAAAAAAACCATTTATACAGGCGGCATAGCAGATGAATAGCCTTGTAAACCTCCCCTCATGTTGTTCAACATGAATATTGCTACTTGGGTTTATCTTCTTAACATTTTCTACATACCTAAAAATTTAAAGATTAAGTGTTAGGATTAACATTAACAAAATTAGTATAAACAGCGTAACATAAATGAAATTAGTTTATATATGGTAGATATTATCTTTTACCATCGTAATTGATCATAGGGCTCATGAGCATCACCATATAATTGCTCTTATGCTCTATCTTCACCCCACCATATCTTACTATAACCGACCCTAAGCCTATACGAACTTAAAAAACTCCTTTTGTATGTTAATAGGTCGTATATCAGGTCGGACCTTTAACGTGGGTTGTAATTGGGTCGCAATGAATTGTCGAAAGGCCCTAGATTGACCTGCATTATTGCCATGCTTCCCACAAGTGTGATTGTCCACAAACCTTTTGATTTCAAATCTATTTTATTTTTAGGTGGAGAGGCAAATAACATCCACGAGCAACTTTTGGCTTCCTTAAATCGACAATAAACTCGAATACGCTTCGGTTCATTCTTTCTAAACAAGTACTCGAATTTTTTTGC